TAACTAATTGAAGCTCAGAAATCTTAAACGTAATTATCGTCAACTTTGTCGTCTCTTCTTCTCGCCTGCCAAAACCACCTCGTGTGAGTAACAAATGAAATATCGCGGCCATGCCTACATAAACAATTCCTGTCATGTCAGTTGTAATTTTGTTATCGAGAAGTCAAATAAGAACGTTCATCTATTCTATAACGTTCAGTACTAAACAATATCTAAAGTCTAAACAATGTGAGTCTACCTCCTGCTTAGTTTAAGTTTCATGTATGTCTATCTCGACCTATTAACTAATATTAAATCTTATTTTCAGCTTACGTCACTCAGCTTACGTCAATAAACGGGAGAAAAAGCAAGTCAACTTTTCCCTACCCCGTTAAGCCCGCAAACGTGTGTGTCAGGGGTCAACTAGTTAGGGTCAACTAGTGGGAGATCAACTAGTGCAGGATCAACTAATGGGGGTCAACTAGTGGGGGTCTGCTTGTGGGGTAAACTAGTGGGGATCAACTAGTGAGAGTTAACTAGTGGAGGTGTACTATTGGTGGTCAGAGGTGTAGCGTGAGGCATACATGCACTAGTGAGGTCACTAGTGACACAGTAGCAAAGCACTAGCAAGGAATGCAGTTCAGTGCAAGTCACTAGTGGCACCAACAAAGACAGAAGCAGAAGTGCCGGCAGCCACTAGTGTTAGCCACTAGTTTCAGCTCCAGGTGGCAACTATAGGAGGGAGAGAAACCACTAGTGGCAACTAGAAATCAACTATGGAACACCTAGTGGTAACCAGGCAACACCAGCACAACGAACTACTAGTGGCAAGCAGTCACTACTAGTGGCGAGCTGTCACTACTAGAGGCAAGCAGTCACTACTAGCGGCAAGCAGTCACTGCTAAAGGCCAGCAGTCATTACTAGAGGCAAGCAGTCACTACTAGCGGCAAGCAGTCGCTACTAGTGGTAAGCAGTCACTGCTAGTGGCAAGCAGTCACGACTAGAGGCAAGCAGTCATTACTAGCGGCAAGCAGTCACTACTAGCGGCGAGCAGTCACTACAAGAGGCAAGCAGTCACTACCAGAGGCAAGCAGTCACTACTAGTGGCAAGCAGTCACTACTAGAAACAAGCAGTCTCTACCAGAGGCAAGCAGTCAATATTAGTGACAAGTAGTCACTGCTAGTGGCAAGCAGTCACTACTAGTGACAAGCAGTCACTACTAGAGGCAAGCAGTTACTACCAGGGGGCAAGCAGTCACTATTAGTGACTAGCATAGTATTGGAAAGCAGTTTCTACTAGTGGCAAGCAGGCACTACTAGTGGCAAGTAGTCACTACCAGAGACAAGCAGTCACTACTAGTGGCAATCAGTCACTACTAGTGGCAAGAAGTCACTGCTAGTGGCAGCCGACCCTAGTGGTAGTGACACTAGTGATAGTGACACTAGTGGTAGTGACACTAGTGGTAGTGACACTAATGGTAGTGACACTTGTGGTAGTGACACTAGTGGTAGTGACACTAGTGTAATCGACAATCATAGTTGCTAGTTCCAGTAGAGGTAGTGCCACTAGTTGAGGCTAGTGACTAGTATAATCAGCAACAGTAAGTGCACCGTACATGGAGTGGAATAGTGTGAATTGTGCAACTAGTGAACCTCCTCAACTAGCGTCTGACATAAGAGCAAGTGTCAAATGCAGTGGTCACTAGTGATGTGGTCAACAGTCACTAGCGGCGCGTGTTGGTTGGCGGTAGGTGTGTGAGGTTGGGTGTAGGTATTAAAACAATAAAGATGATTAGTTCAATATTCAGAGGTCTTTTTACAACACTTCTCTTAACTTCACTTCTTGTTGTTTGTTTGTTCGTCTGTCTGCTACAAATCTTGTAATCGAAATTTAATACACTTCTACTTATCCCATCGATCTGAAATTTTGCACACTTGCGTAAAGTTGGAGAAAATGCATGAATCAAGTGACAAAATAAATAATTTTAGGAATATAATTTTTTTTTAATATTAAAAACAATGAAAAAATAATTTTGTCAGCTACAAATCTTATAATTGATATTTGACACACTTTTACCTGTCCAATTGATATGAAATTTTGCACACTTGTGTGATGTTGGAGGCAATGCATGAATCAATTGACAGAATAAATAATTTTGGAAAAAATTTTATATGTTAAAAATAATTGAAAAATTACATTTTTTTGATAATCGAAATAAAATAAGAAATTCATTGTACATCTGTAACATTGGAAACACTGGATTCTTTAGAAGTGTTGACAATAAAAAGTAACTTTTAAACGTATATTATTTTTATATTAAAAATAGAATTTATGATGATGAGGGAGGGTGATGACGACGACGATGACGGATGGTGATGCTGGGAAATTGAGCGGACGATTTCTGGTCTGAGATTGGTGGGTTTAGCTGGAAAAGCCGTCAGTGATTGGCTGACGGACTTACGAACTTTCAATTTTTCGTTAAGTATTGCTCGTGGTGCAGGTATTCCGTAGCGTAGGGTATGTGGGGCTGGTGGTTATGAATACAGGGGTGGAGTTGGGGAGCCGAGTGAGAGTATTTTGGAGTAAGATCATGTGAATGCGTGTAAGATGACACAAAAATTCACCATATCTTTATAAAATGAAACGTTTCTCAGTCTAACTCCATCGTCAGTTCGATAATGTCTTTTGTTTAGTCACTTTTAGGTTCTAATGTTTGACAGTGAATTTATGATTATTAACTGATTGCATGTATTTACTTTCAAGGAATGTCGATTGTTTTGGCGCTATCTAACCCAACCTAACCTAACCTACTCATGATGTGATGACACACACTTACTGACTCATCACATCAGCCGTGTACTCACAATGCTTCTCATCACTCCAGTCCCCGCAGTTGTTGTAATAGCCGTCGCATTCATAACGCTTGTGGATGCATCTGCCGTTGCCACACACGAAATGGTCGCCGGTGCAGCCTGCCATAAATCAAGGAAGTCGTGAATGTCGGGCTTACTAATTAAGATAAATAACTAATTTTATGCAGGGTGATCGGACCTCCTGAACACGAGGCCAGGAAGAATGTGTAGAGGTAAGAATGTGATGTATGTGTTGCTTATAACATCGTATCAGAGGAGGTGGGAAAGTTTCAATATGCAATGGGTTCAGCGGGCCCAAAACTTCCGGTGCAAAGAAAATTCAGACCCCAGAAGAGGTTAAACTCGACAACTCGACATTAGTCATAGCATGCTTGCGAAACATTGAAAATAATTCGTTGGTGAAACGTTATAATTGAATGCAATTTAGGAATAATTCATTTATATGCAAAAAAATAATTGAATGTTGGTGATCCAGAAAGTGGTGGCCCACGAAGGAGTGATACGGGGAGGGTGGCTCAGGGAGGGGCGATTTCAACTAGTGGAGGTCAACTAGTGGAGGTCAACTAGTGGAGGTCTGAGGTGTAGCGTGAGGCGTACATGCACTAGTGAGGTCACTAGTGACACACTAGCAAAGCAGTAGCAAGGAAGGCAGTTCAGTGTAAGTCACTAGTGGCAACAACAACGGTTAACTAACACAAGCAGAAGTGCAGGCAGCCACTAATGTTAGCTACTAGTTTCAGCTCTTGGTGGAAACTATTGGAGGAAGAGAAACCACTAGTGGCAACTAGAAGCGTGAGTAGCACCTAGTAGTAACCAGGCAATATCAGCACAACGAACTACTTGTGGCAAGCAGTCACTACTAGTGGCAAGCAGTCACTACTAGTGGCAAGCAGTCACTACTAGTGGCAAGCAGCCAGTACTAGAGGCAAGCAGTCACTACTAGAGGCAAGCAGTGACTACTAGCGGCAAGCAGTCACTACTAGTGACAAGCAGTCACTACTAGTGGCAAACAGTCACTACTAGGGGTAAGCAGTCACTACTAGTGGCAAACAGTCACTACTAGTGGCAAGCAGCCAGTACTAGAGGCAAGCAGTCACTACTAGAGGCAAGCAGTGACTACTAGCGGCAAGCAGTCACTACTAGTGGCAAACAGTCACTACTAGAGGCAAGCAGTCACTACTAGAGGCAAGCAGTCACTACTAGTGGCAAACAGTCACTACTAGGGGTAAGCAGTCACTACTAGTGGCAAGCAGTCACTATACTAGTAGCAAGCAGTCACTACTAGTGGCAAACAGTCACTACTAGAAAACCAGATGTAGCTAGCGGCCATCAGGAGAGCCATGCGCTACTAGTGAGAGCATCTAGTGGCCACTAGGAGGATCATGCGCCCTCCTAGTGGAGGGCGCCGTCAGGATACGCTACTAGTGGCCACCAGGAGGGACATGCACCACTAGTGGCCAACAGGGAGACATGCACCACTAGCTGCCACCAGTAGGGACATGTACCACTAGTGGCCACCAGTAGCAAAATGCGCTACTAGTGGCCACTATGAGGGTCATGCACCACTAGTGGCCACCAGGATACGCAACTAGGGACCTACTAGTGTCAACCAAGATACGCTACTAATGCGCTACTAGTGGCCACCAGAAGACCGAAGGACTACGAGTGGACACCAGGATACTCTACTAGTTATCTTCTAGTGACCACTAGTGGCGGCCAGTGGATGTAAATAGTTGAGGCAAGACTAGTAACTAGTCACTAGGCACTGCCTAACTAGTAAATATTAAGTAGCAGATGCTAGTAGCTAGTATTAATATTACACAACATATCCCAATATCTTCCATTGGTCTAAGTGGGTCAAGTTGTCCAAATAGTTCCTGCACGTAGCACACTTCCTGCACGTAGCACTGATACGCCCGGGCTTAAGTGGGTATACACGGCACACACAAGTAAAGAAGTGCATCGATATTTGGACAACGTCTCACTCATTGCTATGAGTGTAGAGACAAGGCAGGGCAGAGGGTGTAGCGTGTGAGGTGTAACGTGTGTTATACATGCACTAGTGAGGCCACTAGTGACACACTAGCAGTGCACTAGCAAGAAATGCAGTTCAGTGTAAGTCACTAGTGGCAACAACAAAGGCTAACAGAAGTAAGGTGCCGGCAGCCACTAGTGTTAGCAACTAGTTCCAGCTACTGGTGGCAACTATAGGAGGGAGAAAAACCACTAGTGGCAACTAGAAGGCAACGATGGAGCACCTAGTGGCAACCAAGCAATACCAGCACAACGAACTACTGGTTGCCAGCAGTCACTACTAGCGGCAAGCAGTCACTACTAGTGGCAAGCAGTCACTACTACAAAACTGGATGTCTCTAGCGGCTAGTAGTAATGCGCTACTAGTGGAAGCATGTAGTGGCCACTATGAGGATCATGCGCCACTAGTGGCCACTACGAGGATCATGCGCCACTAATGGCCACCAGTAGAGACATGTACCACTAGTGGCCACCAGTTGGGACATGTACCACTAGTGGCCACCAGGAGGGACATGCACCACTAGTGGCCACCAGAAGGATCATGCGCCACCTTCAGCCACCAGGATACGCTACTAGTGGCTACCAGAAGAGCCATACACTACTAGTGGCCACCAGTAGGGACATGTACCACTATCAGCCACCAGGATACGCTACTAGTGGCCACCAGGAGGGACATGCGCCACTAGTGGCCACCAGGAGGGACATGCACCACTAGTGGCCACCAGAAGAGCCATACACTACTAGTGGCCACCAGTAGGGACATGCACCACTAGTGGCCACCAGGAGGGACATGCGCCACTAGTGGCCACCAGGAGGGACATGCACCACTAGTGNCACTAGTGGTAGTGACACTAGTGGTAGTGACACTAGTGGTAGTGACACTAGTGGTAGTGACACTAGTGGTAGTGACACTAGTGGTAGTGACACTAGTGGTAGTGACACTAGTGTAATCGACAATCATAGTTGCTAGTGCCAGTAGTGATAGTGCCACTAGTTGCGGCTAGTGACACTAGTACAATCAGCAACAGTAAGTGCTCGCACATGGAGTGGAATAGTGAGAATTGTAGAACTAGTTGATCTCCTCAACTAGTGGACCTCCTCAACTAGTGTCTGACATAAGAGCAAGTGTCAATAGCAGTGGTCACTAGTCATGTGGTCAACAGTCACTAGCGGCGCGTGTTGGTTGGCGGTAGGTGTGTGGGGTTGGGTGTAGGTATTAAAACAATAAGAATGATTAGTTCAATATTCACAGGCCTTTTTTATATTAAATATAAAATTTATGATGATGAGGGAGGGTGATGACGACGATGATGACGGATGGTGATGCTGGAGAAATCGAACGGACGATTTTTGGTCTGAGATTGGTGGGTTTAGCTTGAAAAGTCGTCAGTGATTGGCTGACGGACTTACGAACTTTAAATTTTTCGTTAAGTATTGCTCGTGGTGCAGGTATTCCGTAGCGTAGGGTATGTGGGGCTGGTGGTTGTGGATACAGGGGTGGAGGTGGGGAGCCTAGTGCCAGTATTTTGGACTTAGGTCATGTGAATGCTTGTAAAATCCCTAATTAACAAGGAATTTAAAAAAAAAGAAAATGACACAAAAATTCACCATATCTTTATAAAAGAAAACCTTTCTTAGTCTAACTCCATCGTCAGTTCGATAATGTCTTTTGTTTGATAACTCATCGAAAATGTCCCTCCATATTCAATAGTGTTTTATTTATTACGATTGCTTGATATAATTGATTGCGTCGTAACTATTGACGCAAAAAGTCACCTCTATGACCTAATTAGTGACACCATAAGTGACCCCGTGACGTAACTAGTAACAAAATAAGTGATCCAATGACGTAGGTAGTGGGGCAATAGGTGACTCAATGACGTAACTAGTGATAAAACAAGTGACTCAATTACGTAACTAGTTGAGCAATATGTGACCCAAATACGTAAGTAGTGACACAATAAGTGACGCAATGCCGTAAGTAGTGACGCAATTCGTGACCTCGTGACGTAACTAGTGACGCAATAAGTGCCCTCCGTGGCGTAACTAGTGACGTTGTAAGTGACCTCCGCGACTCAACAAGTGACACAATATGTGTCACTTATTAACTTTAATCTAATATTCATCTGTTTGTGCGACTCTGTCTGCATTAATTAACACAAATGTTTCTTAAAGCTAATTTTATTTGAACCTCGGCACGCAAGATCACTACATACACTTAGCCATCATATTAATTTAATACCTACGCCGACGCATGATGTGATGACACACACTAACTATGACTAGCTTTTTGAATTACAAATCACACTTCATATTGCATGATTTTTTTATTTGCCGCCTCAAGGCAGCAGGTTCAGTTTCTAGTTAAGCGTATTTATGACCCCTTATCGAGTTATTGACTCTTGCCTTGCCATAAGTTGATTTGTTGATTGTTGATTGACTCTTGCCTTGCTTGTAAAATCCCGAATTAACAAGGAATTTAAAAACAAAGAAGACGACACAAAAATTCACCATATCTTTATAAAAGAAAACTCCATCGTCAGTGCGAGAATTTCTTCTGTTTTAGGTTTTAGGTTCTAATGTTTGACAGTGATTGGATTGTCGATTGTCGATTACTTTGGAGCTATGGAATAACGGTGCTGCCTTGCCATGGCGCGTGGAGGGAATATTAGTAGATTGAATAGTTGAAGGTTTGTTATTTGGTTTGATGGTGGGCCAAGTTTTGCGCGCTAATTGTTGGTAGAGGACTGTGTTTACTTCAGGAGTGTCACATTGTTCGTGCAGTGTTTGCGGAGGTATAACGTCGGAGCAGTGTGGGTTTGTGCACGGAGAGCAAATTTTGGACCCTTAAGAGCCC